TATCACCCAGTGGGAGAGTCCATCACCCAGTGGGAGAGTCTATCACCTAGTGGGTGAGTCTATCACCCAGTGGGAAAGTCCATCACCCCGTGGGAGAGACTGTGTCACCCAGTGGGAGAGTCCATCACACAGTGGGAGAGACTATCACCCAGTGGGAGAGTCCAACACCCAGTGGGAGTGTCCATCACCCAGTGGGAGTGTCCATCACCCAGTGGGAAAGTCTATCACCCAGTGGGAGAGTCCATCACCCAGTGGGAGAGTCTGTGTCACCCAGCGGGACAGTCCATCACCCAATGGGAGAGTCTACCACCGCATGGGAGAGACTGTGTCACCCAGTGGGAGAAACTGTATTACGCAGAGGGAGAGTCTATCACCCCATGGGAGAGACTGTGACACAGTGGGAGAGACTGTAACCCATTGGGTGAGACCATCACTTGACGAAGGAGCAGCGCTCCGAAAGCTTGTGATTTCAAATAAACCTGATGGACTATAACCTGGTATCATGTGACTTCTGACATTAGCCAGTGGTGGAGGCTGTGGAAGACTTTGTCACACAGTGGGAGCATGTGTCAATTTGTGGGAGAGACTGTCTAATACCAATCTGTTGTGTCTTGCAGTCGAAGTTTGAGGCAATGATTGCTGAGATTGGATTTGTGAAAAACGAAGCAATTTCTGCAATGAATAACATCAAAAGCTGGGTCACAGTCGAGTTCGTGGAGAAGACATTTGTAGGTATTGGGAGGGACTCTCTCTCTCTGATTGTCTCCTGCCATTTCTCAATCTTTCTCCCTTCATCTGTCCTCCTCTGTCCTCAGTCCCCATTTCTCCGTCTCTATCTCTCTGACTCACAATTCTTCCCTCTCCTTTGTGTCCCTCCATCTCTCTGTCCCTCTTTGTCCATCTCTGAACTGCCCTATCTCAATACCTTTCTCTCCATCTATCCCACCGCCTCTCAGTCAACTCTCACCCTATCTGTCTCTCTTCATCACTCAAATTCTCTCATCTTTTATTCTATATATATTGCTATAAGTTGGACATAGGAACTAAAATTATGCGCGAATGTTTCACAAGGAGAACATTTTCACAGCTGGACACGCTGTGTGAGAGAACCAATTTGAGATTCAGTGCAGACTGAGCCCTGTTTGTTTCTGTTCACACGTGGAATACTGTGAGCAGTTTTGGTCTCCTTTTCAGAGGAAGGATGCTGTTGCTCTTGAGGGAGTGCAGCGAAGGTTTACCAGGCTGATTCCGGGGATGATGGGTCTGATGTATGAGGAGAGATTGACTAGGTTGGGACTGTTTTCATTGGAGTTCAGATGAAGGAGGGGGGGATCTCATAGAGACTGATAACATTCTAACAGGACTGCACAGGGTAGGCACAGGGAGGATGTTCCTGATAGTGGATGGGTCCAGAACCAGGGGTCACTGTATGAGGATTTGGAGTTGACCATTTAGGGTGGAGATGAGGATACATTTCTTCACCCAAAGGGCGGTGAGCCTGTGGAATTCATTACCACAGGAAGGAGTCAGTTCCAAAATATTGAATGTATTCAAGAGGCAACTAGATGTAGCACTTGGGGTAATGGGATCAAAGGTTATGGGAAGGAAGCGGGATTAGGCTGTTGAGTTGGACGATCAGCCATGATCATGAAGAATGGCAGTGCAGGCTTGAAGGGCCGAATGGCCTCCACCTGCTCCTCTCTCCTATATTTCTATGGGAAGCGGGATTGGCTGGCTGGGCCCAGCATTTATTGCCCCGTCCCTAGTTGCCCCCCTTGAGAAGGTGGGGGGTGAGCTGCATTCTTGAACCGCTGCAGTCCATGTGCTGTGGGGTGACCCACAGTGTCCCTTAGGGAGGGAATTCCAGGGATTCTGACCCAGTGACACTGAAGGAGCGGGGATATATTTCCCAAGTCAGGATGGGGAGTGGCTCGGAGGGGAACTTGCAGGGGGTGGTGTTCCCATGTATCTGCTGCCCCTTGTCCTTCTGGATGGAAGTGGGTCGTGGGTTTGGAAGGTGCTGCCTGAGGATCTTTGGTGAATTTCTGCAGAGCATCTTGTAGATGGTACACACTGCTGTGACTGAGCGTCAGTGGGGGAGTGCAAGCTGATCAATATGTTTCCTTGCACAGGCTGAGTGCTGTTTTCTGACAGTGAGCAGGATGCTCCTTGGTACAGACTGAGGGCTGTGTTTCTTTATACAGGCTGAGTGGTGTGTTCCTTCGTACATGCAGAGAAGTGTATTTCTTTTGGAACAGGTTAACTCCGTGGTTGTGTTTGGGTGTGTGTTTGTGTTTGGGTGTGTGTACCTGTGTGTGCGTGTGTGTGTGTTTGTGTGTGTGTTTGGTGGTGTGTATGCCTGTGTGTTTGTCTGTGCATGTGTGTGAGTGTGTGTGTCTGTCTGTGTTTGTGTTTGGTGGTGTGTATGCCTGTGTGTGTTTGTCTGTGTTTGTGTGTGCACGTGTGTGTGTGTGCGTGTGTGAGTGTGCTTGGTGGTGTGTATGCCTGTGTTTTTGTCTATGTGGGTGTTTGTGTGTATGTGTGTGTGTGTGCATGTGCGTATGTCTGTCTGTTTGTGTGTGTGTGTGTGTGAGTGTGTATGTGTGTGTGAGCGTGTATGTGTGTGTGAGAGTGTGTGTGAGAGTGTGTGTATGTGTGTGTGTGTATGTGTGTGTGTGTGTGTATGTGTGTATGTGTGTGTGTATGTGTTTGTGTGTGAGTGTGCATGTATGTGTGTGTGTGTGTGTATGTGTGTGTGTGTCTGTGTGTGTGTGTCTGTGTGTGTGTGTGTGATTGTGCCTCCGTGTGTGTGCCTTTGTGTGCATGCAAGTCTGTGTGTGTTTGTCTGTGTTTCTCCAGTCATTCAGAGATCTCAGCAGTCTGCAGATTAATTGTGGCTCAGAGGAAGGCAGAATCCTCACAGCACAACATGAGGCCATTCAGCCCATCGTATCTGACAGTGGCTCTCCGAATGGGGAACTTACTTCATCCCATTCTCTTGCCTTCTCACCGTAGCCCTACCCATTCTTCCCCCCCGGCTGTGAGGATGTGGATAAGGCACGGATTGGGAATGATGCTTATCTCCCCCGTCACCCCCTACTGACGCACCCCTCGTGTATCCTAGGTAACCAAGCTGGACCAATGCTTCATCCGGAAGGAGCCATTCGGAGTGGCACTGATCATCGCAGCCTGGAGCCACCCCGTTCAGCTGCTGCTAACCCCCCTGGTTGGAGCCATCGCTGCAGGTCAGTATCGGCGGCTGGGAAGACGTGGCACAGCAAGATCTCAAAACTCAGCACCACCCTGAGCCTCACGTGGGCACGGTGAGATCCCAGAATCCTGGGGTCAGTTGGGGGCGGGGGGGGGGGGGGGGGGGGGGAGGTTGGGGCGCGCAGCAAGATCCCAGACCCCTGTTACCTCCCTGAGCCTCGCATGGGGCACAGCCGAGAGAATTGAGGGCCACGAGGGTAGGGAGGGCATGTGGACGTCGAACCGCGACGAGATCAAGTTGAAGGGCCTACGGTTGCTCATATTTTGTACATCGGCGCGAAACGGTTTCTTCCCAGAGGCTTGAGTTGTCAGGTATATTCGGGATCGTCTGCTGTCTCCCTCCTGGAGGAGAACAAAAGGGGCTCCTGATGTCTGCGACCATTGCAAAGATTCTGATGGAGCGTCCCATTTTAACCCTCGGGCCTCATTCTGCTTGTTCCTGTCCAACCTCAGGCAACTGCGTTGTCCTCAAGCCGTCTGAAGTGAGTGTGAACACGGCGGCTCTGCTCAGCAAACTCATCCCCCAGTATCTGGACAAGGTGAGTCCCGTTGCAAATCCTCGATTTCGTCGTCCGCCACAGTGAACGGGAGACGCCTGTAGTGGGGTGTGACACCTTTTACTGCCTCACTGATACAGTCAGCCCCTTCTCCAGCCTCTCCCACCGAGAACAGGAGGAGGCCATTTGGCTAATCTCCATTCTGTCCCATAGGAACAGGAGGAGGCCATTCAGCCCCCTTCTCTGGCCTATCCCATAGGAACAGGACGATGCCATTTAGCTCCCATCTCCTTCCTGTCCCATGGAGAATAGGAGGAGGCCATTCAGCCCCCTTCTCCAGTCTACCCCACAGGAACAAGACGATGCCATTTAGTTCCCATCTCCATCCTGTCCCATGGAGAACTGGAGGAGGCCATTTAGCTCCCATCTCCAGCCTATCCCATAGGAATAGGAGGAGGCCATTCAGCCCCATCTCCAGCTTATCCCACAGGAGCAGCAGAAGGCCATTTAGCCCTATATTCATCGTGTCCCACGGAGAACAGGAAGCGGTCATTCAGCCCCTTCTCCAGTCTGTCCCACAGGAACAGGATGATGCCATTTAGCCCCATCTCCATCCTATCTCACAGGAACAGCAGGAGGTCATTTAGCCCCATCTCCAGCCTGTTCCACAGAGAACAGGAGGAGGCCATTCAGCCCCTTCTCCAGACTGTCCCACAGGAACAGGAGGAGGTGACTCAGCCCCATCTCCAGCTTGTTCCACAGAGAACAGGAGGAGGCCATTCATCCCCTTCTGCAGCCTGTCCCACAGGAACTGGAGGAGGCCATTCAGCCCCTTCTGCAGCCTGTCCCACAGGAACTGGAGGAGGCCATTCAGCCCCTTCTGCAGCCTGTCCCACAGGAACTGGAGGAGGCCATTCAGCCTCTCAATCCCAATTTTACATATTAATCAGATCTGGGCTGATCAATATTTTCGACCAATTTAGCTGCATTCGTTCACTAACTTTAATCCCTTTTCCAATAAAAAAGAAGCAGTGTCAGTTTTGAAATGTCCCACTGACCCCCAGCTGGAACAAACTGATGTAGGGACAGCATTCCAGATTCTAACAGCTCTCTCTGAGTGAAGGTATGCTCCCTGGGGCCACTGCTGAACTCAATTCAATTTTAATGTTCTGATTACCTTGTTCTGCACTGCCCCCTTCTAAATCCGGCTCCCACTCAATTCAGCTGGGATTGTGTCAACCTGTTTGTACAGCTACATCATCAACGTTTCTCATCATCTCTCTGTTTTTTTAAAAATCCCAGCAAGTAACATTCGTAGCGCACCATGACCAACTCCAATAATCTAACAGTATCTAACCACCGCCCCTTTACATTCCATGGTGTTACCATCACTGAATCCCCCCACTATCAACATCCCGGGGGTTACCATTGACCAGAAACTCAACTGGACCCACCACATAAACACAGCGGCTACAAGAGCAGGTCAGAGGTTGGGAATCCTGCAGCGAGTAACTCCCGTCCTGTCTCCCCCCACAAAGCCTGTCCCACCATCTACAAGGCACAAGGCAGGAGGGTGATGGAATACTCCCCACTTGCCCCTGGATGGGGGCAGCTCCAACATCACCCAAGAAGCTCGGCACCATCCAGGACAAAGCAGCCCCCGCTCGATTGGAACCACATCCACAAACATCCCACTCCCTCCCCACACCAACGCTCAGTTGCAGCAGTGTGTACCATCTACAAGATGCTCTGCAGAAATTCACCAAAGATCCTCAGGCAGCACTTTCCAAACCCACGACCCACTTCCATCCAGAAGGACAAGGGGCAGCAGATACATGGGAACACCACCCCCTGCAAGTTCCCCTCCGAGCCACTCCCCATCCTGACCTGGAAATATATCCCCGTTCCTTCAGTGTCACTGGGTCAGAATCCCTGGAATTCCCTCCCTAAGGGACACTGTGGGTCACGCCACAGCACATGGACTGCAGCGGTTCAAGAAGGCAGCTCACCCCACTTTCTCAAGGGGGGGCAACTAGGGATGGGGCAATAAAGGGATACTGAACCTAATGTGTCCAGATCTGATGACGAATAAAAGAAAGTCACATTAAGGCCAATCTTCCCGATCCAGTTTAATTCTTTTATAATTGGGAATAAACCATTGATGATTTCCTAATCTCAGTCCCTTAAACCTCTGACCCTATTAATGCTGTTTGATGGGGACAGGGTAGAGGGAGCTTTACTCTGTATCTAACCATGTGCTGTCCCTGTCCTGGGAATGTTTGATGGGGGGACAGTGAGAGAGAGCTTTACACTGTATCTAACCCTGTGCTATCCCTGTCCTGGGAGTCTTTGATGGGGGGACAGTGTAGAGGGAGCTTTACTCTGTATCTAAACCCATGCTATCCCTGCCCTGGCACTGCTTGATTGAGAGAGTGTGGAGAGAGCTTTACACTGTACCTAACTCTGTGTTATCCATGCCCTGACAGTGTAGAGAGAGCTTTATTCAGTATCTAACCCTTTGCTGTCCCTAACCTGGGAATGTTTGATGGGTTGGGGTGGGGGGGTGGGTGCGTACAGTGTAGAGAGAGCTTTACTCTGTATCTGACCCTGTGCTGTCCCAGTCCTGGGAGTACTTCAACGGGCCAGTGCAAAGGAAGCTTTACTTTCAGTTAAAAGTTTTGAGCTGACTGTAGAATGTTGTGGGCAGTATAGAGGGGTCCTTGCTCATGCTCAGCCCCTGAACTCTATTTGTGTCATTCCAGGACTGTTTTGCTGTGTACAGTGGAGGGCCAGTCGAAACAAGGAAACTTCTGCAGTATAAATTTGATTATATCTTTTACACAGGTGAGAGGGTGTATCAAACTGAGACACATGGATGGGTGCCAGACTGAATGCATCGCAGGGACATCGGGAGGCTTCGGAGATAGATAGAATGGAGATCAAATCCCTACAGTGTGGGAACAGGCCATTCGGCAAGTCAGTTAAAATGGAGACGCAAAGCCTAGATACTAGAGAAGTGACACAGGAGCTGGCTAGAGAGGAGGTTCAGAGTGTGGTCTGGACATGAGGGTAACAGGGTAAATATACACTAGAGGCACAAATGCTAGACATTAAACTGGAGACACAAAGTCGGTGTGTGGACTTGTTGTATGGAGGGGAGGGTGATGGAGTGACAATTGAGAGGCTAAACAAACACAGGGAGAGTCTAAATCCAGGATGGACACTGCCGGAGTGACAAGAATATGAATGGTGTCTGAGAGAGAGAGTCCTGATTGTAAATGGAGACTGAGGGAATGTCTGGAGTGTATGGAGGCTGAGGGAGTGTCTAGAGTGTGAATGCAGACTGGGGGAGTGTCTCGAGTGTATGGAGACTGAGGGAGTGTCTAGTCTATGAATGGAATCTGAGGGAGAGTCTCGGCTGAATAGAGACAGAGGGAGTGACCAGACTGTGAATGAAGACTGAGTTAGACCCCAGACTGAATGCAGACTGAGACAGACCCCAGACTGAATGGAGATTGAAGGAGAGTCTAG